AAACACACAAATCCCAGCCAGCGCCCCCAGACCTTTAGTAAAAAGACTGCAAGAGCAGCTCAGTGGAGACAACAGGCTTTTCCCAGCTCTGTAGCTCCTGGAAAAGCCGAGCCAGACTTCCAGCCAAGAGGGGTAAGTGGCAACTCCCACACTGTCAGTCCTCTTCCCAGGGGCAAAGCACCATGTGGCAACCCCTATAGAAAGCAAAAGTTGGGACGGCGTAATTACGCAGACGGCGTAATGGCTATGTCTCTGGACTCCCATGTAGTGGACCCTGGTTTGGTCCCAGACCCGGTGGTTTAAACTCACACCGTGTGCGTGCATGCCCAAGATCCTGAGAATGGAGGAGACAGGGTTGCGGCGTGGACCTCCCCCCAGGCGGTGATTTCTCACTTTCTGTCTCTCTCTTTCTGGTGAGCGCACATGCTCTATGGTAAAAAGCTCTCAAAAAAAAAAAAAAAGAAAGAAAAAAAGCTACCAAAAGCAATCTGAGCTGTTTTCCCCAAATTCTAACCTCTCCGACTCTGGGCACCAGACCCAGAATAGAAGAGCCTGGGCAGGAGGATTTCTGACTCTCCCTATGAAGGTCATGGCACCAGGAGAGAACAAGCCAATGGGAAGAAAGGAGAGAACTTTTTACGCCCTCATGCACTTCAGAAATGCTTAGGGTCTTAACTTGGTGCCCTGTACTTGGTACAGAGGACTAAAGGGATGAGGAAAGGGCACGGGGGGGCCAGAAAGTACTTGGATTCTGACCCCAAGGCCTGAGTGTCACTTTGAGTCATCCCTCATGATCCCACGACTGGCCCCCTCCCTACTTCAATACCAAGAGATACCCCAGTGAGGTCCAGCCAGCAGAAGACAGTCCAGAAGCCCAGGATGCAGGTGAGCTTCCTGGGGGCTGCCATGTGGGAGGTAGGGGAAGAGGTGTGTGCTAGGGTCCTGGGACCGGGTGAGGGGCCTACTGTGGTTCCGGGGATTAAAATGCAAGGGACAGGGAAGATGGGATGAAGCCCAGAGAGGCTTCCTGCAGGAAGTACCTGCCCTTAGGCTCACTCTGGGGAAGAGACTGGATGATGGCGTGCAGGCCTCTGCTCCCTTGACTTTCCTTGGTCACAGGTCTGTCCCTGAGTGGGGCTGCCCATAGGTGGCCTGCTCACCTGTCCAGCTAGAAGAGTGTTTGAAAGCAGGCAGGGCACCAGATTCACCTGCTGATTACAGGGTTTGGGGCTCAGGGCCAGCAGAGAGGTGAACATCCAGCCCTCCTAGCCCTGAGTGCCCTGGAGACCCAAGTCCTTTCACTCTACCCGCAATGCCAAATGAGAAGCCCTTGGGTCAGGACAGGAAAAAGCCACTAATGAAGAACCCCAGGGTTTAGATAGAGGCCCTCCTGTCCTTTGTGTAGGATGGCAGTCCCAGCCCAGGCAGGCTACCCTGAGAGTCAGGACTGGCTCCTGCAGATGGGTTTTCATGGAGCCGGCAGCACTGGGACCCAGCTTGTTTCCAGGACCAGGCACCGGGGAGAGGAGTCAGAGGCAGCAGTCCAAAGGGTGTGTGCTACCGAGAGGGCAAGAGGATGCTAATATCTGCCCGCCCATCCCTCCAGCCACTGCCAAGCTGTTGTGCCACCCTTCAACTACCGCTCTGCTCATCTGTCCCAGGAAGCAGCCACCTGCTCAGGGACACTGTGCAGAAAGGAGCAACCACTTCTGTCCTGGCCCTTCCCATTTCTCCAGAGGACTAGAAGGGACAGCTGGGACCTGTGGAGACAGCCCCCACCAAACTCCCCTAAGCACTAGCCCAGCTGGGCTTGGTACCTGGGACCTCCATGCAGGATGCCAAAGTGAACCCCTAGCCCCAACCCTACCTTTGCCAAGAATCATTAGGAGGTGGGGAATCTAGGACACGGCCTGAGAGATGAGGCAACAAGTTTAAGGCAGAAGCCCACAATGGAGAGGCTTCTTTGACTTCAATCCCCAGGACTCCTGCCTACAGGGCAGAGAAGGGTATTGGAAGGAAGACATTAGACTCTATGAGCCCTGCTCTGGGGCTGCAGCAAGTACTGCCTACCTCCAAGGGCCAAGAATGACTATCCTGGGGCCAGCAAGTGGTTTAGTGGTTAAGGCGCTGGACTCCCACACGGCTGATCACGGTTCGAGTCCTGGACCCAGCAGCTTGAACATGTCAGGTACATGTACATGCATGCCCAAAATCCAGAGAAGAATGGAAGAGAAAGGGTTGGGGCATGGCCATTCCTCCTGGGCGGGAAGGGGGGGGCATTTTTACTTTATCTCTCTCCATCTCTCTGTTTCCCTGTCTCTCAGAGTGCATGTACTCTATAGCAAAAATCTCTCTCTCAAAAAAAATGTCCATCCTCCAACTGCAGTTTCCTTCCTGGCCCCTCCAACTTGAAGCCAAACCTCTAATGATCTTGGTTGGGATGACAATGAAGGCAGCACTCAGTCCACTCTAGACCCTCACTGAATATTTCCGAAACCAGGTATCTCTGCCGCTGTCTATAAGTTGGAATAAATGAGGAACCAGAAAAGAATGTGCACTTCGTGTGTCTAGTTCCTTGGCTGGGCAGGAAGAAGCCATCTATCATCTATTCTGCCTGGCCATTGGAAGGATCTTGGTACTCCAGGGCAGATGGGGCCTGACCAGGCTTCTCAGGTGGCTCTCCAGCCGCCCCACATGCTCTCTGTCCTGGACATGCAGGGCCGGGGAGGGGCCTACCGGGCAGCCACCTGTGGGGCTGCCCCTCCAGCTCCCTTTGCATGTGCCCCCCACATACCTCCCATCCCCAGAGCTAGCACATCGCTTTTAGAGGGCCTAGGAGAGGAAGATGCACAAATGTCTGCTCCCGGAGTTGGTGCAGCAGCATAAAGGGAGTGTCTGCACCTCAGTTCGTCCTGCTGGTCATGCTTTCCCAGTGAGGTCACTCTATGCCAGCCTCTGGAGTGGAACCGTCTGGAAGGAGGTAGACCCCTGCCCTGACCATGCGGGAGGGTGGGGGAGAAGGGGTCAGCTCATCCCAGCATTCGTCATGGCCACCCTGCGCCTGCTGCACCACTGCAATCCTTTTACAGGATCCAGGAATAGAAGAGTCTCAGGCACGACCCCTTCTCTGCCTCCCTCCCCCAAGATAGTGCCAAAGCAATTCTGTCCCCCGGTCAGTCTCCTCTGCTCATTTCCTCACTCTGACAAGCCTGGTCCCCACTTCGAGGCTCCCCCTCAGTATGCACTAGAGAACACAGGTAAGGACCAAGAAACGTGCAGGCAGCGCCGTCCAGGTTTGCCCCCAGTTAGCACAGGCAATGACCAACTTTATTGGTGGCCCAGGCCAGGTCTCCCGAGAGTTTCCCAACAGTAACATGAGAGCCTCCAACGGAGTCGCCATCAGGCAGACCTCGTCCTCGGGAGGCTTTGCGGTCATTCCAACACTTGACTTCTGCTGGTACTGCCCGCTCCTGTCACCTGGGCTCCAGTCTGTCCAACAGCTTGAGCCAGGACTTCACAGCATAGCTACCAGTTTGAAGGTGCCCTCGGGCTTGGTAGGAACCACATGGACAAAAGTCTTGTAGAGCACAGCGCCCTTGGGCAGCTTGGTGACCAGATCCACAGCCTCCGAGTTCCTGGGGTTGGGCACGTAGACTTCCTTAGTGTAGCGGACGATCCCCTCCTCAAGGGCATACAGGCACTTCCTCTTCCCCAGCCCTACCTGCAACACACACACCTGGTCAGCTGGATGGAGAGCCAGGTCCTTCCCAGGGGTTCAGGACAGGCCCTGGGACCAAGGGCAGGGTTCAGCAAGCTCCATCTCTGGTGCCCTTTCCCACTGTATGGCACTTCTTTGCCTTCTGCTTCTTTAATGACTCCGTAACAGAGGATGCAAAAGAAAACTCCAACAGCCAATCTTGGTAGCTACTCAGTCCCAGCGGGCTGCTGCCTGAAGCCATATCTATATAGCCATTCACAAGCCATAGTAGTCCAGCCTGCAGCTGGTAGTTAAGCCCGGAACCCACATGGCTGACTATGTATTTCAAGTCCCAGACCCAGTCACTTGAAAAACACACTGGGCATGTGTGTTTTGGCACAAAATCCCAAAAGGAGGAAGAAATGGAGAAGGAACTGCAGTGGCTCATGGCAACCCCATGGCTCACGGGGCGTGCATTCTGGCTTTCCCTCTGTCTCTCTCAAAGCATACTAGCTTTGTTATCATTATTATCAGGGAGACCTCGTTCCGATCTTAGCTGAGTCTTGGGCCCCACCACTCACCAAGTCTCTGGCATTTTGCCTATGAAATGGAACTAATGCTTACCTCACAGAGATGGGTCAGGATGAATGAGATAACATAGCCATGGAAATCAACTCAATGTTTGGCACTGAGCATCAACCCAATAAAGTAACTGTACTATTGCTGCCATGCTTAGGGGCATAGAGAGGTGGTCCTAGAAAAGTAAAAAGGGGGGCCACGGGGCAACTCACATGGGCGCCTGGGTGCCAGCGGAAATGGCGCTGAGTCCCAAGGATGTTGCCAGCGTGAACATAGTGACCTAGAAGAGAAATTCACAACTGCACTGACTCTGGGCGCCAGGGATCAGGGCAGCACAGTGAAATGCTTACACAACAGTCCCAGTGCCGCACGCCAGCCTCTAAGCCTGCCTCTGGCCAAAAGCAAGCCGTGGATGATCTACCCAGCAGCCTCTTTCTAGGTGCACCGCCAAGGTGCATACCTGCCCAACCCGCCTCAGGTCTTCCAAGCCCCTTTAACCTAGAAGCAAATGCTCTGGTGAGCTGCCTGGCGCTTACAGGGCCAGGCTTCTGCATGGTTGTCCTGCCCTTACAAGGAACCAGGAGCAGAAGGCAGGGTGTAGCTGGGAAACAGAAACCAAAGCACATCTCACCTTCCATCTTCTTGAGGCCAAAGCGTCTGCCTGATGACTTTCCACCAAGGTTTTTGGAGCTTCCACCTGTCTTCTTGGAAGCATATCTGACGGCAAGAGCTGTAGGTGGAGGAGGACTCAGCAAGGCTGCAACTGCAGAGAAAACAGGCTGTCAGAGAAGTTTCCAATCGGACGCTCCTTCTCTGTCTCAATGGGCCATTTGCTAAGCTGAGAGGTGGCAGGGGAGGTGAGGACGCTGTGTGAGGGTACAGAAGGGCCCCTGAGAGCATCGGTTTTCACAGAGTACCTGGAAGTCTTTGCCCTTTTCCCAGGGCAGAGGGTAACTCATTCCTTCTATCGTCTAGATGTCAGCATTGTGTGAGTGTGTGTGTGTGTGTGTGTGTCAGGGGAAGAGGGAAGCAGGGAAACATAAATGAAAAAATATATATATATACATCATATGCTCTGGGTCCTGAAACTTGCAGTCCTGCTGGGGAAAAACAAACACCACAGAAACAGAAGCCAGCAGAGGACACCACAGAGCTGCTACTTCACAGCCTCATTCACCCTCATGCCCAGTGTAGTAGTCAAACCACAGATCGGAGAGCTCACCAACAGGACACAGAGAGAGGTTTTCGCTTCAGCCTTCCCCCCCCACACACACACACCTTTTTTAACTATCTACTCAACTACTACCTACCGGATACCTGCCAACAAAAAGGACAGCTGTTCTGAAGGTGTTTCTACAAGCTCCTGGCCATCTCAGAAGGCTGGTTTCTTTTTCCCCAAAGTCCATCAAGCAGAGGTCCAACCAAGACTGATACACCCAGTCTTGGTGGCACAGGGGATAGCGAACCCAACTACAGTGCTGGAAGCCAAGGGCTCAGAGCTTCGGTTGACCTGGAATATGCCAAGGAGTGGGGAGGGTGTGGGCACACAGATGCCCAAGATTCTGACCAGCTGGAGAGCTAGGAAGGGGATCACGACGTAAGGAGACCCTATTGAAGTCGCCTTCCTTCCTCTCTCTCATGCACACTATCATGAATAAAGTAATATCTTTTTTTTTGAGAGGTTTTTCGCTATAGGGCGCATGTGCTTGCCAGACAGACAGAGAGAGACATAGAGACAGAAAGCGAGAAATCACGCCCCCGGGGGGATGGTCACGCCGTAATCCCCTCTCCTCCATTCTCCTCTCGGGATCTTGGGCATGCACGCACACGCGCCCGGCGTGAGTTCTAAGCCACCGGGTCCGGGACGCGAACCGTGGTCGACTACATGGGAATCCAGCAACATAGCCATTACACTAACTGCTGGTTCCCAATAAAGTAATAATTTTTTAAGGGAGATTTTTGCTATAGAGTGCATATGCTTGCTGGAAAGACAAAGAGAGAGACAGAAAACAAGAAATCACTCCCCGGGGGGATGACCATTGCTACAATCCCTTCTCCTCCATTCTCCTCTTGGGATCTTGGGCAGACATGCATGCACATGGACCCAGAGTGAGTTTAAGTTGTCAGTTCTGGGACTCAAACTGCAGTGGACTATGTGAGAGTCTGGCAACATAACCATTATGCCATCTGCTGGTCCTCAAAGTAATATTTTTTTAGAAAGAGACTGGCAGGGGCCAGCAGGTGGCATGGTGGTTAAGGAGTTAGACTCCCACATGGCCAACTACAGTTTGAGTCTCAGATCTGGTGGCTTGAATCTCACACCAGGCATGTGTGTATATGTGCCCAAAATCCCAGGAGGAGAATGGCAGAGAAGATACTACAACATGGCTATCCCACCTAGGGGGTGATTTCTCACTTTTTCTCCATCTCTCTTTCTGGTGAGTGCAGGTGCCCTATAGAAAAACAAACCAAAAAACCCCAACTCTCTAAAGTAAGTAAATAAAAATAAAAAGAGACTGATATACTGCCCTTGCTAATCTGACTTCTCTATTCTCATTAAAGGGCTCAATGACACTTAATATTATTATTTTTAATTTGCTACAGGATGTATACACTCATCAGAGAGAGACAGATGGAGAGGGAAAATGAGAAAGCACTCCCTCAGGGGATAGCCACGCCACAATCCTTTCTCCTCCATTTCTCCATTCTGTTGGAGTTGGAAACATGCAGGCAGATGCCCCCAGCTTGACCAAGGACCTAGGGGGACCAGCTCCGTCAAGCACTAGGCTACAGGCCAGCCCCTGCCCCTCAATCTACACAGAGCTAAGGGCCAGGCTTCTTGTCACCTTTTGAAGGTCTTGACTTAAATAGATGTTATCTCCTGCCCATCCCATTTTGAAACATGCGTGTACGTACATACACAGACATTCACGCTTTCTCCACAGCACTTGTCACAATTTACAACTGTTTTACACATGCTTATGCACTGCCTTATCCACTAGAAGAACTGGTCCAGGAAGGTAGGGAACAGGTCTTCGTGTTTCTGCTGACAGCCTTAACCAGAATCTGCCACAAAGACAGACCTCAACCTCGAATGAACAGAGGAACTTTCTGTGCTCCAGCGTGCCACTGTGACTAATCCCTTTTAGAAACGAAGAGATCCACACAAACCCACAGAGCAAGCGGCCCGCACAGGTCACCAACCGCCCGGGACCTGTCTGTGCTCCCGAGGCACAGGAAGGACACGAGCTTCTCCGACCTCCCCACAACACGCAGATCCGCCCGGGGAGTGTCACGTGATCGCCATCAGCTGCGCCCCCACAAACCTCGCGTGTCCCCCACGCTTCCCCGCATCCAGGGTCCTCCGCAGGGGCCCGCTCCCACCCGCCGTCTTCCCTGACGGATCTCCACCCTGCTTCCACCCCAGGCCCTCGATGGGTAAGGCGTCCCGTTACCGGCTGCCCGCGTCCTCAGCGCTAGCAGCGCCGACGCCATGTCCGCCTCCTATGCACTTCCGGCCTCGGAACGCTTCTGCTTCCGCTACCGCGAGATCTACTTCCGGGTCCGGCGTAGCTGTTCAAAGAGTGGCGCGAGGAGTTGCAGGTGAGCGGCGTGGGTCGCTGCCCCTCTAGCGAGTGGAGGCTGCTTTCCTGAGCACCCGTCCGCGGGGCGTTGGCGGTCAGGGCGTCCCGGGGCCTCTGCAG